GTCGCTTTATTTGCCGTATTGGATTAAGTGTTAAGACTTGCAAAACCGATATAAAGTCATAATAAATACATTTCCTGCCAATTGTACGATTCCCGATCTACGACTTCCATAGTTTTGTCGTTAAGTGTCTTTGTTACACGTGTATTTCTTGGCATACAAGAGGCGAGTCCTTGAGAAGTAACTGTCACGGAGTTACTACCATGTTCCTTATCGCCATTCGATTCAAATGCGAGTGCAGTGCTGCGCTATGAAGTTGTATCCCGCTAATTTGTCGCTCCCCAGCAATGTTATCTGTTCGCGTACAACATTATCAGATATTAAAAGATACAAGCTCGGTGAGCATGGTTTTTCTATCAGCCAGTATATCAAGTTGACTTTCTCTATCAAAGGAATGGCAATTTATTTCTGAATGTGCTCATTTGTTCATACTAATTATACTCCCACTAGGAATATACCTCCTTGACTTTAGATTCTAACCTAAACGCAATCCCAATTGCCTTTCCCTATCAAATAATGGCAACTTCTTTCTAAATGTTGTCGTTTATTCGGACTAATTATATTCCTATTAGAATGGCAGTCTATTTTTAAGCGTTGTCATTTGTTCATACTAATTATGTTCCTATCAAAGATACAACTGCAAAATATAATTTAAACATAACCTCAATTCACTTTGACAAAAAGAATAACAACTTTGAAATGTTGTCATTTTATACTTATTAAATTTCTATTAGGAATATAACTCCAGAATAACCCTCAAATTTAAGCACAAACCTTGAAATAATAGAACTTTAAAACTTTACCATTCTACAGCGCAGAAACTAACCTCCAAAATTTCCAACTTTCCCATTTCCACTCCACCAAAAAAATTTACCAATAATTTCTTAAAATTTCCAACAATTATACACCAACATACCTCTTCAGTTACAAAAAGGTCAAAATGACTTGTTTGAAACTTATTTTTGCAATTTCTGAAAACATACAGCCCTTTTGGTAAAGGTAACCTTAATTTTTATTCGAATAGAAATTACGTATACCTTTTTATTTTCATTCTATCACTTTGCACTCGTGAGGTGACCTCCAGTTGCCATTTAATAAAATCCTAAATATCGATATTAACGTATTAAATGAAAAATAATATAACAATGCATGAAATATCGAAATAAAATAATTCTACGCGTTAATTTATGTACGATACCTTATTCACCAGTTTAAAAAATATAGTCGAACAGCAATTTTTTTGTAATAAAAAATCGCCGAGTGCAAGCCACTAAAGTTCTCTTCGAAATTATTTTATTTCCCTGTATTTTCCTTTTGTCGCACGTCGCATTTTGAATATTCGAGAAAAAAAAATGGAAAGTACGAGAAGTTCGGTTCGAGTTTGGTCGAGAAAAATTCCTGGGTCACGGATGACCCACGCGGCGTGAAACTCGTTTTAATCGTGTATCGCGTCAGTCAAAAGTGTCGCCTCTCGCGGCGTCCTTCGCATTTAACCTTTCGCGATCCGAGTGTGCGCCTTCGGGCGCAGCCAATGTCAGACACGGATTGTGTCGAAATTTTTAGCTGACACCGGTCTACGCGTAGATACGTCTTTCCCTTCGTACATCTGCTGGCATACTCGTGCATCTCTTGTTGCAAAAGTCAGGCACTTCGTTAACTTCTCAAGGTGTAATTACGCAAGATAAATCAAGGCGTGTGCTCAGCTAGTTTTTGCTATCCGTGGTATAATCTTGGCCACGAACAATAAGTCTGTTAATCGCTGATTCGAGGCTGCGGTTTATTCTTCATTTCTTAAAACATTATCGATACTTGTAATGTTAAATTAACGGATAATAGGGTACGAAGAAAGAAGTCGGTGCCTTGAGAAATTTATGACCGAAGTTTTGCGTTTTGGTAGGTCGTTCGTTGTCCAGACAATGAAAATCTTCCGAT